ATTTTCATAAAGACGTGATTTTCATAAAGACGTGATTTTCATAAAGATGTGATTTTCAGAAATACGTGAATTTCATAATGCTTTTCTGAATTCAAACATTTCAACCATGTAAGTTGAAAAGTGAATAAATCCAAACAGGGATAAACTTTACAGGCGGTTCGATTCTCAGAGCTACTTCTTCATAAACCTTCGAAGGACAGAAGTGACCGTTTTCACCCGACTGAGCCTGGCCTGGTGCAGAAGTTAGTTTCAGGCCTGCAGCTGACAGGAGCATGTTTAAAGTAACAGCGTGTTCGGAGTTGACGCTGAGATGCTTTAATGTCATTAAATCCTGTCGGGACGAAGAACAAAGTTTCTGAATAAAAACCTTTGAGGCTGAGTTTAGGAGCTACACACCTGCTCCTCGTCAGAAACCTCGTACAGAGCAACAATGTTCTGAACTTCGTCCACGGCGTCGTCGGTCTGTTCTTCTGTGAAGGAACTTTGTTCTTGGAACAAGGCCAGGTTGAAACCAGCAGCGCCGTAATATTCCTGATGCAGAATTTCCATGTAGTAGCTGCAGACCAAAACAAACCAAAGACGGGTCAAGGTGTGCACGAGATGAACGAGTCATTGTTGTGAGGGTCGAGCCGCTGAACTGACGGTTTTCCTTTCTCCAGACGGATCCGTTCAGACTTTTGGGACTGCAGCTGTAAGTAGTCCTTCACATACGACGGCTGATATGCAACTCTCACCTGGAGTCAGAGACGAAGCAACAAGTTGATCTTAAACAGCAACCACTGGTGAACGGCAACAATCGGAGTTAAACCTGCTCACACCTTGAATTCAGGCCGGCTGGAGTTGCTCAGGTAAAGATCACACCTGTCGTCACAGTTCAGGTAGATGTTGAAGTTCCCGCTGAGCGCAGGGACCAAGAAGCCTCTGGTCCTGGTGGTGAAGACGTCGTACTCTGCAGGAAACGTGTACGGCATCGAGTCGATCCACTGACGCCAGTATCCGGTCGTGTTCTCGTTGTAGGTCCAGATGTCGTTTAAGGAACTGGGTCGTTTGTTGCTCCACACCTCCATCTTCAAGCCTCGGCCACCTGAGGGAGACAAGCAGGAGCTGACCTCCACCTTTCTGTCCGCTCAGACGTAAAAACACGGCTGGATCTTCCACAGAGCCCGCACTATGCTAACGGTGTGGAAACAAGTCGTGCTGCTCATCACCTCTTGTTATTTGATCAGAATGTTCCGTTTTATATTTTGCTGCTCTTTTGTTTCCAGCTTCTCAAACGTTTAACTTCTTCAGCAGCTGTTACAAAAAATTATTCATCTTTGCATTCTGGACAGGGACAATATGTCCCCGTCACTTCCTGTCAAGTCCTGAAAGTGCTTTAATAAACCGTGTGGAGCTGCATGCACGCTACAGTCAAGGAAGGTTTTAAAATCAAATGTTAAATCATTTTGTGTTAAGCCAAACAGAGCATTCCTGCCTGCAGCCGTTTCCTGCAGGTCCTACCTGAAAACACCTGAGCCGGCACGAGGAAGTCACAAACACACCGACGGTTTATTTTTAGCTGCGTGTCGTGTGACGACTGATTTGTAACAATTGTCTCCGCTGATAACAGACGATCTGTTGCAGCTCACTGAAGCCCAGCGGGCCTTGACAAACGGTTCTGGATGATGTAACTGATGAAAGACAACGACAGCTCTGAATTCCTGCAGCGCTCGTGTCGTCAGCTGGCGTCGGCGAGTTTCTCACACGACATCCACCATAAAAAAGGGGCGGGTCGTCTCTGGCTCTGGTTGCATCAGGAGAGGTAAAAGCACGACCCGTTCTCACCTGGGAACATCTTCAGGGCGCTGCCCAGCGGCCGTTCAGGCGTCCTGCACGTGATGCTGTCGTCAGCCACACTCTGGACCTCACAAGGCAGACCTGAAGAGAAAAGACACCAAGTGGAAAACTTGCAGGAGGAACGTTTAATCTGACCTCCAGTCAGGTCAGAAAGACGTCGGTCACTGCTTCAGTCACATCAACGTAACCTTTCCACTGACACCAGGTTTAGGTTTCCAAACACAGACTCCTTCCAGGTTGGATGAACTCTTTTTGAGCACTCTGAAAGTGGAGTGGACACACGTAGACACGGCAGCAAGAGACCCACTGTGGGTCACAAAACATCAAGTTTACAGTCACGATCTCCAGAAACAAAACAAACGGTTTAAAAGCTGCTTGTTATGAAACACAACTAGTAAAATTAAGAGTCTAAAGGTGTTGTGGTCGTTGTTAAACTGGTCTAATTGCATAGTTCATACTTGATGTTTACGTGAACCAGCTTCACCAGAAGAAACCGACTTGTTATCAGATGAATGCTGTGACTGAAACAAAATGTGCTTCAGGAGTGTAGACCTGCTGAGAGACAGCCAGACGGCTCTCTGTCGTCGTGGTCTGCTGCGTTTCTAAGCTCCTAAAGACCAGTTCCTCTCATGTGTGACAACTCAAAGCCTTCTTCTTTTGTTGTGCTGAAAAGATTTGTCTCCGTGACTCCATACACTCAAACAATGTGTGGAGACGACTTTCATCCATTCAGACTGAACATTTTGTACTTTGACGCTTCAGGAAACTGGTTCCAGCGGGTCGTTTCAGGCGAGGGTACTCCTGGACCTTACCGCTGCGTTTGACTCTGTTCACCAGTTTCCTTATATCGAGGTTAGAACACCGGGTCGGGATTACTGGTGCAGCATTAGAATGGTTCCGTTCTTATCCGAGTGACGGGAGCTTCTGTGTTAATGTTGGTAATATATTATCTGCTTCAGTGCCTCTTTCAAGTGGAGTTCCGCAAAGCTCAATTCTTGGACACCTACTGTTTTCACTGTCTCTGCTCCCTTTGGTGTCTATCCTGAGGAAACATGATCTTTCTTTTCACTGTTATGCTTAAAACCCAATAGCTCATGCACAATTCACCCTCTGTTAAAATGTCTTGATGACATTAAGACTTGGATGGCTTCAAATCTTTTAAATTTTAACAATCAGAAAACGGAAGTCGCGTTTAGCCCTAGCTCTACTGCTGTCTCTGATCCTGTAAACCCGGACTCCCTTGAGCCTTATCTTAAGTCTGTTACAAATCTCTGGATGGTTTTAGACTGACTTTAAGTTTAATAAACAGATTAACTCTGTTCTGCTGAAAGGATCCAGTCTAAGCTCAAGTCTGTGTTGACCAGATCCGATCTTGAAGTCTATGCCTTCATTACAACCCGTCTTGACTACTGTAACACTCTTTATGTTGGGGTCAGTCAGGTCTCCGTCACATCTCCAGCTCGTCTCGTAACATGAACTCGTAGGTTTAATCATATCTCACCAGTTTTGTCCTCCCTTCACTGGCTCCCTGTACGTATCAGAAGAGATTTTAAAATTCTCCTGTTGACCTTTAAGTGCCTAAATGACCTTGCACCTCCTACCTCTCTGACCTACTTCAACCAGATGTTCCTTCTCAGGCCCTGACATCATCTGAGCAGCTGCTTCTGGTTGAAGCTCAGAGGAGATCAGGCTTTTTCAGTCGTGGCCCTAAACTCTGGAACAATCTGCCCCAACATGAGACAGGACATTTCACTTCCTGTTTTTAAATCTCTTTTAAAAACATCTGTTTTCACTGACTCAGTGTAATTTGATTTTTTATTTTATTGTTTGTTTTGTGTTTTTCTTTTGATGTTTTAATGAATTAATTAGTTTTTTCTTTAAATTACTGTTATTGTTTCAGCTGCTGCTTTAAATGTGCTTCATAAGTAAAGTGGACTTGACGAGCGGACGGTTACCTCCAACGAGAACACGAACGGGCTCATCGCTTTGGTCGAAGAAGCGGCCGTGGATCGTTAACAGAGTTCCACCCATGATGCTGCCCTTCGACGGCGAGACGCCCGTCACCTCTGCGCAGGAAACACATCCCACATTTCACCCATCGGAGACAGGAACACGCTTTTAAAAGGTGCGGCGTTTGTTTTTACCTGCGAACGTCTGGAACATGGAGAGTTTGTCCAAAGATGAAACCCAGAACAGATTCTTATTTGGTAAACTCCTAAAGTTTAAAAAAAGACGGAAAGAAAGTTAAATCATTTATGTTTTGGTTTTAAATGAATCCTCCGTGGATCATTGTGGCCACCTCCCACTTTACAGATTATCTGATAATAAACAATAATTCAAAATGGATAATCCATCAATTCATTTTAAGGAGGCAAAGTAAAATAAAATGTCTGACATCAGCATGTTGGTGCAGTTTTATGTTCGTCAGCTCTTTGAGATTTAAAAACTGAAGCAGCACTTTACCTTCCAAACTCGTTATCAAGAATGTAGCTGAGGTTGTGATGACCTGATGGGATAAAGAATAACGACTGAACATCAGTTTGAGCAGATTAACAACATTCGTCTGTAATCTGTGTCCAGCTCACCGACGTATGTTCCTGTCATCCTGCAGCTCATGTAGCCCCAGGTGGAGGTGTCAGAGTCCAGCTGCAGTTTGTACCTGTGAAGGAACAACACGACGTGCGCGTTTCACTCTCAGCTGGAGATTAGTTTGCTGTTAGACACGTAGAAGTGGCAGGTGGTGACAATAATCTGAGATGCACCGTGTTAGCAGAATATAAAGGTACAGAGGACCAGACGACTCACAGCTCATCTGACTCAGGCTTCAGCAGCTCACACGGCATTCCTCCCATGTAGGATCTGAAGGGAACACAGGCAAAGACTGAAAGAGTTTTCTCTGTTTGCTGCTGCATCTAGACAAATGACGCGCGTTAGATTCTGCTTGTAATCAGGTTTCAGCAATATTTAGATGCAACTAAATGCCTGCCATAGTTCTGTCTTCAATTTCATATATTTCTTCTCTAACCTCATTTCCTAAGTTATTATGGAAAGACTAGACCGGGGTGACCAATAAATTGGTGGAGACAATGAATGCAGCTGAGTCAGGGTTGCCAGATAAATGTAAAATGTTTTATTTACCCCCTCCTTTTCTGTGCACATGTTCAACACACACACACCTCATCTTAGAATACCTTCACTCAGCACATCTGGCAGTTTAGCTCAAAGTACTTTCTTTTTAAAGCCACAGTACTATAGTTCATTATTTCTTATCTGGCAACCCGACTGAAATGGAAACCACAGCCTTTTCCATGTAAACCTGCTCATTTGTTGTTTATGATTGAAGAAACACTAAAGTTTTCAGAGGTGGTTCTGTGTGAACGGGGCCTTACAGCAGGTGGAGCACTTGGACTTGGTCGTTTTAAAAGGAGCTCCATCATATCCTGATGCTGCTCAATAATCCAGGTAGAAAAATCTAAAAAAAAGTTAAATCTGGTCCTCTGGACATTCAAAAAAACCAAAACAAACAAAAGATAAAAAACAAAATAAATTGTAGAAACGTTTCGTCTTTCATCCTGAGGACTTCCTCAGTCTGAGGTGCTGTTTTCAGCTCAGTCTCTTAAATAGCACCTTCTCAGAGTGGATCAACTAGAACCAGCTGCTCACATGGTCAAGAAGGACCATCAGCCTAACAATGCATCATTAGCACCCTGAGCTCCATGATGAAAACATCTGGACACCCCTGGGTTAGACGTTGCATAAATATAATCCTTTATAAAGTGATTTACTTTGTGTTTATCACAAAGAGTCAACATTTAGTTGATTTGTGGTTATTTTAAATCTGATATTTTAACCTCAGGGCTCCAAAATCCTCACACCTCTAGCTCATCACGAGCTCTGGGTTACAGTAGAGGACCTCTACAGACATCACATCACCATCAGTTTGTTTGATGGCCTTAGTAAAGAGGAATCAAGTCATCATCAAGACAGTTCCTGAGTTTTCACGTTGATAAATGTTGACGAACATCCTCTCACCTCAGAAACCGGACGTTGAGGCCGTTGGAGCTCAGCTGCGTGTTGCTTCCGTACACGTCGGTGAAGATCTGTCCTCGGATTGAGACCAGCGAGCCTGCAGGACATTTGACAGACGGTTTTATAGAAAGGGTTCAAACTGGACCCAGGAAATCCTCTGCATGCAGACAAGTGGTACCTGGGAGGCCAGAGACTGGACTCAGGGAGGAGATGGTCGGGGTGCGGTACCAAACCACCTGAGAAGAGTTTCAGAGACATGAACCAGGACCTGGAGACACACCTGCAGTAAGGTGCTTCACGTGTAAAACTTACGTATAAGCTGCAGTAGTACGATTTATAATAGCCGTTGCATATTTTGCTGTCAGGAATGGGAACCCCGCTCACAGTGACACGGACCACGTACTGGTCCTCGGGCATTTTTCTGTGACGAGGAACAAAACTCGTGTTTCAGACAAACGACCAGCAGGACATTCACGTGACAGGTTTCTGTGGACAGGTGTGTCCCTGCACCTGGTGTAACACAGAATCTGGTTCCCGTGCGTTGAGTCTCGCTCCACATCGCAGGGGACGGACAACGTGTCCGACACCAGGGTGACACGGTTTCCAAACGTGTCGTCTTCAGGGTTCAGCTGGAACTGCTTCTCCTGAGCGAACCCTGGACAAGAAACATCAGAACAAAGTCAGGTGGTCATCAGGAGGTTAAAGCTCTCAGTGGCAGTTTGTACAAACAGATTGGTTTTAGGAACCGTTCACGCAGAACTGGACTTGTCCACTGACCCAGTTAGATGAAATGTAAAAGCTGTTTGTCTCGAGGTGTGAACACAGCCGAGGGATTTGAGAAGGTCGACTTTTCCTTCAGGGATGGAAAGGCAACAATTCTAATTTGAATTCCTAATCCTCTCAATAATTTGAGGACGTGTGTGATAAAGTCTTTTTGAGGCTGTTCAGCTCTGACACTGAAGAGAACGACTTTAGTGGTTTTAGGAGACAGGAGGAATGAACATAACGATCAGTGGCTACGGTATTTTTTTTTACCAGCCGTGTTAAAAGGACTGTTCACAAAAAAAAATACTGTACATATACATGTACAATTTTAAATTTATTTAGTGGGCGTGGCTTGTGTTCAGGTGCGCTCTATAGTCCAGAAATTACAGTAACTAACCCGCTAACCCTTGGTTAGCTGTGTTAGCGCTCTTAATGAGGAGAACTTAATTAAGAACGCTAACACACTGAGAAGGAAAACGTTAGCTTAGCATGCTAATCTGGGTCAGCCAACTGCAGCCATGACAGTTAGCTGACCCAGAACCACTTCCAGTGATCCCGTCCAGAACAGTTAATGGTGTATTATATTTGTGACCAGCTCGTGGTCCAAAGTTATGAAGCTTACAAACCGTATTCTTGGATTTCAGTGGTTTCTATAACAAAGAAAATCACATTTATCTCACTTACACAAACCGGATTCCAAAAAAGTTGTGACACTAAACAAATTGTGAATAAAAACTGAATGCAATGATGTGGAGGTGCCAACATCTAATATTTTATTCAGAATAGAACACAAATCACAGATCAAAAGTTTAAACTGAGAGAATGTTTCATTTTAAGGGAAAAATCTGTTGTTTCCAAATTTCATGGCGTCAACAAATCCCAAAAAAGTTGGGACAAGTCCATTTTTCCCACTGTGTGGCATCCCCCCTTCTTCTTCCAACACTCAACAGACGTCTGGGGACAGAGGAGACCAGTTTCTCCAGTTTAGAAATAGGAATGCTCTCCCATTCATGTCTAATACAGGCCTCTAACTGTTCAATCGTCTTGGGCCTTCTTTGTGGCACCTTCCTCTTTATGATGCACCAAATGTTCTCTATAGGTGAAAGATCTGGACTGCAGGCTGGCCATTTCAGTACCCGGATCCTTCTCCTACGTAGCCATGATGTTGTGATTGCTGCAGAATGTGGTCTGGCATTATCGTGTTGAAAAATGCAGGGTCTTCCCTGAAAGAGATGACGTCTAGATGGGAGCATATGTTGTTCTAGAACCTGAACATAGTTCTCTGCATTAATGGTGCCTTTCCAGACATGCAAGCTGCCCATGCCACAAGCGCTCATGCAACCCCATACCATCAGTGATGCAGGCTTCTGAACGGAGCGTTGATAACAACTTGGGCTATCCTTGTCCTCTCTGGTCCGGATGACATGGCATCCCAGTGTTCCATAAAGAACTTCAAATGGTGACTCATCTGACCACAGAACAGTCTTCCATTTTGCCACACTCCATTTTAAATGACCCCTGGCCCAGTGCAAACGTCTGAGCTCGTGGAGCTTGCTTAGAAATGGTTTCCTCTTTGCACTGTAGAGTTTCAGCTGGCAACGGCGTATGGCACTGTGGATTGTGTTCACTGACAATGCTTTCTGGAAGTATTCCTGAGCCCATTCTGTTATTTCCTTGACAGTGACATTCCTGTTTGAGGTGCAGTGATGTTTAAGGGCCCGGAGATCACGAGCATCCAGTAGAGTTTTACGGCCTTGACCCTTACGCACAGCGATTGTTCCAGATTCTCTGAATCTTTTGATGATGTTATGCACGGTTGATGATGATAACTTAAAAGTCTTTGCTATTTTACACAGGGTAACACCATTCTGGTATTGTTGCACTATCTTTCTGCGCAACAATGGTGGAATTGGTGATCCTCTTACCATCTTGGCTTCTGAGAGACACTGACACTCTGAGAAGCTCTTTTTATACCCAATCATGTTGTCAATTGACCTAATTAGTGTTAATTGGTCTTCCAGATGTTCGTTATATGCTCAATTTCCTTTTTCCAGCCACTTATTGCTACTTGTCCCAACTTTTTTGGGATTTGTTCACACTGAAATTTTGAATCAACATATTTTTCCTTTAAAATGTTACATTTACTCAGATTAAACTTTTGATCTGTCATCTATGTTATATTACGAATAAATTACTGACATTTGCCATCTCCACATCGTTGCATTCAGTTTTTATTCACAATTTGTTTAGTGTCCCAACTTTTTTGGAATCCGGTTTGTATAAGTCTTAAGGGTCTGGATTTATTACAAAGTATTCTGTTGTACATTTACTGTAAAATATATATCTGTGTAAGAGAAAACATCAAAGTCTCCAGTTTGTCCAAAATGCTCTTTTGAGTGGGTTCAAGTAAACCTTGAAGATCTGGTCTCTGGACAAACCATAACCAGTCAAGCAGTTTTTAGTATACCAGTGATAATCTCATAAATCCTTTGTGATCAGATGATGTCGGTGAATTACCGTCTCCGCTGATGGTGAGTCTGGTTGCTCCTTCAGAGCTTCCTCGCTGTGGAGAGATCCAGTTGACGTGCTGAGCCTCTGAGAAGATGACTGTGAAACGAAGAAGAAACATTTCAACAACTTAAATACATCTTCAGCCCAGGACCAGAACCAGAACCAGGACCAAGACCAAGACCAGGACCAGCTCAGGATGTTTTCATCAGTCTGGACACGTTTTAAATGACCAAAGCCATTTTTTTTTACCAGTACTGTTTCACCAACTGGGCCAATAAAAGGAGTAACACTAGTAATATTACTACCTGTATTATTGTAGGAAAAGGTCCAATAAAAGTAATAGTACTACCAGTATTACTACTACTATAAGTAAATTTGGTTATACTACTTGTACTAATAGTAATAGTAGTAGAATAGCAATGGTTTCTAGTACTATTATTTGTACCACAAGTACCAATAGTACTAGTACTGTACTTGTACTAGTCATTAAAATTATAACACTACTTGTATAGTATAAGTATGAGTATATTAATAGTACTAGCATTGCTATAACTACACTGTACTATCAGTACTAGTAGTATATTATTGTACTATTTCTAGTCGTTCTAGTACTGTTCGTAGTACCAGTACTGAACATTCTGCTTGCAGACGTAGACGTCGGCTGTTTGGTAACGGCTGCTTCATAAACAGCTTAAAGCAAAGAATGCTGCGCTCTGCAGGACAGCGCTGTTATGTACTCGACATCGGTGATGTCACACTCCTGCTGCCGACATTCAACTCTCCTTGTATCAGTTTATAGTTTTTATTACTGGCAGCACAGACGGTTATTTCAGACAAAACATGTAACGTGCCAACATTTTAAATAAACCTTTGATTTTCAATGTACTGACTGGTTTCAGCTGAAACAGGAAGGTGAAATGGGCCAAGGAACAAATTCAAGACCATTTGATGTGAAAAGACAGGAGGGAACGTTTTCGTTTTATGGTCGAATCACTGGAGACAGATAATTATTCATATTTTTGAACCAGCAACAGAACGAGGCCCGTCTAATCACAAGTTTCTGTTTAAAGCAGATGTAAAGTTTGTTTCTTACTGCAGCAGCAGAGAGCGATGAGGACAGCCGCCGGCCTCATGGACTCCATCCTGGAGCTTCCACAGATCTACCTGTTGCTTCACCTGAGCGGAGGAAACAAAGGTAAAGTCCTTTAACCCTAAATTTGCGTTGCTTTGACTTCATGATCTTAGTCTTATGGCAGGAAAAAGGGAAAGGTGGTAAAAATGACCAAATATCCTCTCCCCTCCATATTTTCTAATTAAAACTTTTTCGTCCCTTCTTCGTTTCATTTCTGCTCAAAATATAGAAACTGTAAAAAATGGACATTAGTTCAGACTTGAACATTAAATCACCGTGTTGTTGTTGTTGTTGTGTGGATCTATGTTCATTATAAAGTTTATCTTTGTTTTGTCCAACTTACTTTTCTTCAATAAACATTTTAAAAAGTGACAAAATCATAATTTGTTTTCGCTTCTGAGAATAAATCTGATTAAAATCCTTAAAATCCTTCAGACCACTTCAACTGAGAAAGGAACAGTTTTAAAAAAGAGCAGAACTCACCTGCTGGCAGACAGAATCACAAGATCTACAGTCTCAGAAACAATCAGGACTCCAGCCAGAGGTGATCCAGCTTTTTATAAGGAGCTCAGGCTCCGCCTCTCTCCTGGAGTGGGAGGAGTCTGAGATCATCCCAGACAGGTAGACCTGCAGGTGTTCAGGTGCCTCCCATGTGAGATTACAATCTGCTGCTGGGGAGGGACGCAATGTCAGAGGAGGGATGTGGAACAGCACACGGGTTCTGATGAGGTCTTTTAAAATCAAATTTATTTATTTATTTATTTATTCATCTATCACATAAACAACAGACATTGGCCAAATTCCTGCACACAAAACAATAAACAGTAAAAAGATAATAACAAACAAAACAAAAACATGAAAACTAACAAAAATCAACAAAGTTTTATGGGTCGTCATTGCCCCCCCATTCCTGAGCCCATTCTGTTATTTCCTTGCAGGAGGGGTCTGGGTAATGCCTGCACACATTCAACCTTTATTTATACAGGTTAGTCTCATTGATACAGAGCATTACAGTCAAGACGAGCTGTGATAAAAGAATGGATTAATTTCTCCAAGTCAGGTCTTGGTTTCACTTTTGCTTTTTGGTGAAGTTGATAAAAACTTTTCTGAACAACACTGCTGATCTGTTTTTCAAATTTAAAATCAGACTCAAACTTCACCCCCAGATTGGTGACACAGTCCCTGAGATAAAATGACAGTGAGCCAAGATCTATGCTGGGAGAGGGACAGCAACTCGGTCCATTCTGTCTTGTTCTCATTTAGACTAAGTTAATAGAAAACCACGCCTTATCATTAAGGCAGTGTGTAAGTTGCTGGACTGTTGTTTTGTGCCAAAGGAAAATGTCTGGCAATCATCAGCATAGAAGTGAAATGTCATGTTTCCTAAAGACAGGACCAATGAGGAGTAGGTAAAGAGCAAATAAAAGAGTGTCAAGGATTGAGCCCTGGGGGACCCCATGTGGAAGAGGAGCTGTGGAAGACATAAAATTGTGAGTTTTTATACAGAAATCCCAGTAGACGGGACCAAAACCTACTGAGGACGACACCCTACTGCCCACGCAGTGCTCAAGACGAGAGATTAAAATGCTGTGATGAACTGTGTCGAACGCAGCAAACAAATCCAAGAGCACTAAAACAACAGAACTTCTCTGTTCTTGTGGACTTCTGTCAGAACTTCTCTGTTCTTAGTCGGACGGAATCACTCCTTGGACGGTCTGAGAGAAACGGTGGGTCCGTTTGGACCCATCAGACAGGAAGCAGCTACGACAATCAGGTTGTGATTTTAAGGTTTATTCCAAAACAGCAGCATGGTAAAATGATAATACACAATACGAAAATAAAATTTAAAACATACAAAGTCACCAAACACCAGTGTGAATTTAAATAAAACATGAGAGTAATTTAAAAAACAAAAAGTTTAAACAGATAAAAGTCTTTTCTTCTTCACAGCGCTGCGTGTTGAACTAGAAAAGCTCTGATTCTCTGCAGGAGTTCTTTCTTCACGCTGTCCGGTACCAGAGCTGCAGGGGAGACGAAAACAAGAGCTGACAGGGGGTAGAAACAAACAAACAAACAAACAAACAAACAAACAAACACACACAGTGTGTGATTCTGTTGGACTGAACTGCTGGTAAAAGTTAGAATCAGGTTTTAAAGATTACGAAACTGTTTTTCAGCAACAATAGAAAAATAAAAAGGAGCATCTTGATAATCTTTGGACACTGTTTATTTTATTTACTGACTATTTCTTGAGTGAGTTCTCATTGTCCCTACAGACGGAGAGGTGCGTGCAAGATTCAAGGACAAAGGATGTAAATCTGAAGCGCAGATCAGCCTCCGAGCACCACGTGGATCAGTGCCAGAAGGACTTGCTGCGGTGCAGCCGGGCACTACCTCTGCCTTTCGGTGTCACGTCTGTAACCAGGTCCTCCACCGTGACGTGGTCCAGGCCCTTTTCTCTGATCACATCTGCACACAAACATCCAGGAGCATCACTTTTATGGCGGCGTTGAAACGTTCATTCATTCCACCTTTATTTAAACAGATAAGTCACATTGAGCCTCCAAGACTCATTTACAAGTGAGACGTGTTTGGACAGTAAAGGTGGTGAAAACGACACAAAGTGTTTGGAGACAGCTCTTAATCTTTGGTTGAAGATCAACAGCGTGATAATGAAAAAATTCTTGCACAATAGCACATAATGACGCCGACATTAGGGGGGGGGGTGCAAGCACGGTGAGCAGCCAGAGACAACACACAGAGGCACCGCAGAGTTCAGATAAAATCACTCGGTTCAAATAGTTCCCTCTGGAAGGATCTGGAACAGTGAAGTACGCTCATTCAGTTCTGAGGTTTTAGAGATCAGATGTGGTCCTCATCAGGTCCTGAACGGAGGTCAAACACCCTCAGATGAAGGAGAGGACATCGGTTTATTGTTTACTGAACTAAAACCAAGAGCACACCATGGAACAGGACAGTGATCCAAACACAGCAGCTGATCTACAACAAAACGGCTCAAAAAGAAAAACCACTGGTCCAGTCTAGGTCCAGAATCTCAGCCGGTCTCAAATGCTGTGGTGAGACCTTCAGAGAGCTGAACAGAACCCTCAAAGAACTGAAGCAACGTTGGAAAGAAGAGTGGGCCAAAACTCCTCCACAACCACGTGACAGACGTGCAGCAAACCCAGACAGAGTTCCTGTTGTTCAAGGAGGTTCTAGGAGCTGCTGGAGCAGGAACCAGTGTTTCCAGTTTGGTTCAGTTTTTGTGCAGCTCATAATGGCACAGTGTGATTTGTTGTTTCATCTAGGTCCTGATTTAAACCAGATGATTTTATGGAGGTGAAGGTCCTCCAGAAGTTCTATGGTCTGGACCATCTTTGATCCCACTGTTCAAACTGGACTAAAATCAGATCCTTTAAAACTCAGATGATGGTGTGTGAAACTTTAATTTATTTGTGAAAGTTAAAAAAAATGCTTTTTTTGTGTCTGGACCACATTGGAACTGGTCCAGTTTAAAAATTACAAGACTTCAATGGTTCAAATCTGGACTAAATGATTCTAAATTAAATGGACTTTTAAAAAAAAAACAGTGTTTGTAAAAACCTCTAATCTTTGTTTAAAAAAACGTAAACACATTTTAGTGATTTTTTTGCAGGTGGTCTTAACCTTAACATCTGGGCTGTTTACGCATGTGTCACATCAGAAGCTTTCTTCAGCCTCAGGATATGTAAATATGTCAAAGTAAAATGATGGCTGCATCATTTTATTAATTGGTTATGGTTTGTGGGATTTACCTTTGCAGTGAGCTTTCAGCTGGTCCTTCCACCCACACTCCACCAGTTTGGCCCTGAGCAGCTCCTTCAGCCTGCAGACACACATGTCACAGGAAACATGAGGCATTAATGGACTTTGCTCCTCTGGATGATGATGATGATGGTGACCAGTCTGGGAGAAGACTCGCCTCTCTCGCTCCCCCATCTCTATCAGCTTCTGGTTGATGGCGGCTCTCAGCTGGTAGTCTTTATTCATGGTCTGCTCGGAACCGAACACACACATGAACGTGGACAGAGTCAGCCCACAGAATAAACAAAGCACCGATAAATGCTTTAAATTACACCTAAACATCTTACCTTTGTTTGAGGGATCAACGGGGTAACATCAAATCGCTACCGCCTCAAATATTAATGGTTCCGCCCAGAAACGATTGACAATAAAGTACTTTCTGTTTTAAAAAAAAAGCCCATTATATTTTTGATGTAATAACATCACAAATAAATGTATGCTAAATAAAAATCTGTCAAAAATAATCGTGTTTCAAGAGAAAACCCTGTTAAAAAGAAAAAAAAAAAAACACTCAAGTTCCCATGATGCTCCGCGAGGTCCGCTGTAAAATGTGTCCGTGTGAGATTTAAACAGGAAACGTGTTTTCCCGCTGCCCTTTGTTATTGTCCAGCAGCTCGGACGCTGATTCACGTGCGAATAAAATAATTGAAGTTTAGACTCATGGCTTCGTCTAATTACTCCTTAAAGGTCAACAGAGACCTTCTGGACCCGAAGTTTGAGAGTTACAGGTTGTCTCTGGACCCCATACCGACCTACGACGTCGAGCTGGATGCTGGTGAGAGTTTAGCAGATGTGCTACCTGGACTCGTGTTTCTGTTCTTTGAAAGTCCTTTTTACAAAGAAAAACGAGAGCTCCTAGCTTTGAGACTTTCAGAGGTTTTAAACTTTATTTTGTCAGCTCCAGTGAATAATCTAAACGTTTGGTGACATTGTAGGTAGTTTTTATAAAATATCCTTGGACTCGAACTGATCAAAATGTAGACGCCTTGCTTTTAAAGCAGGGTGTCCAGCCCTGGGCCTGAACGGCCACCGTCCTGCTTGTTTTACCTGTTTCCCTGCAACACACCTGGTTGAACCAGGACCAGACACCTCTGGTTTAGAGAAGTCGTTAGTTTGTGTCTAAAAAGTGAACGCAACAAAACTTAGTGCTGTGTATTTTTTATGGTTTGTCCTTGTATTTCTCTTTGTGCTGCAGAGGTGGAGGAGGTGAAGCTGAAGGACTCTCAGTACACCCTGGAACACATGCGTGCTTTTGGCATGTTCAATTACCTGCACATAGACCCGTGGTGTGAGGACAGTGTTTTATTTGTGGACTGCAAAGGACGAGTCCTCAGTCTCACCGTGACTCTTGTAAGTATTTATTAATTCTTCTCGATCAGTATAAAATACTTTTGTAGGGTCAAGAGTTCTGGTCCGAGCTCTGAGCCCTGTGGAACTCCACGCCTAACTCTGCTGCATCAAGAACTTTCATTATTTACAAACTGGAGTCTGATAAATTGATAAAGTATTACAGAAAAACAAATTTTAATAACGTGAGTTTAAACACAGGCATGAAAAACATCAATTTGAACTTAGTTCAGTTTTTTGTATCTCAAAGTTACGTGTTTTTATTTACATTTTTTTAATCAATGCATCCATCGGCTTCCACTGTTTTAAATAATAATAATAATGTCATCACAATGTCAGCACTGTATGTTTCCATACAATGGCGAAATTAGTCTCTGCATTTAACCCATCCACCACCAGGTGGTGCAGTGGGCAGCTATTGAAAGCGCCCGGGGGACATTTTTGGGAATTAGACGTGCTGCCCAGAGACGCCACGTGATGTGCAGTGACTGGGGATCGAACCTGGGACTCTCGGGTCCCAAGCCGGCTGCCCTCCCTCTACACCATCTCGGCCCCAATAAATTAGGAACTGCCTCGATCATTCAGCCCAGCCTGACTCTCATCCCACTTTCTCAACAACAGGCGGTGATTTCATCGCCTGCTCCGACGGACACATTCTATCCCCTGTGGAGCCAGTCCACGCGCTGTCACATGATAATCACGTGACTGATTTCAGCCGCTCCAGCGGGAAAGGCACAGACTCTCAGAGACTCAATTTTAATTTATGGCAACACTTAGAGTTACGCACTAATTTTTAACTGGTGTTGATAGGCCAAGTAAAACCAGAGTTATGATCAATAATCCATTCTGAAAGTCCTCGTCCAATCTGAAGCGCGCTGGAGCGAGAGGCCGCCTCACGGACAAACGCCCCATCACCCCCCACTTCCACCTCCCGAACGAGCCGCGCACGAGACCGAACGAGCCGCGCATGAGACCGAAAGAGATTTAAGGAAAAGACCCTCAAAATAAAATGAAACCTATTTTCAACTGTTTTATTGACATGAAAATGTTATGGATCCACTTTTTCTTTGTTTTCTTAACCTGCTTCAGTTTCAAATGCAAAAATAACTTATTGATCCCAAATGGAGATTTTAAGTCAAAGACAAGACTTTATTGATTTTATGACACTAAATAATTAATAATTACCTTCATGTCAAGAAGTTCTTCACACTTTATGCATGTTCTAGTCGTATAAATAAGCTCCTCCTTTTAAGTTCTGTATTTTTCCGGCGGACACGTCGCTCCGTCCAGATGTGTCTAATAAAGTGGAAAAATCCATAAATGTGTCGCTTCACCGTATACGTCACATCTATTATCTGTCACCGACACGTCACCGCCGACAACCCGGAAATGTGGACCGGTGTTGTGCCAAAAACCGATGGGCTGCCAAATGGCGGCCGCGGGAGCGTGCACGGGAGGAGTTTAACATGAATTCAACAAGATTAAACAATTTTCAAACAACTAAAAAACAAACAGAAAAAAAGAAACTGTCCAGGTGACCTGACTGAAAAATGTTGGATTGTATACCTGGATTATTGAGCATGGACTTTGTTGGTTTTGAACCAGTTTGACACGACTGTCGACGAGGAAGAGGGCCAGCACCGGAGGAGGGGGCGTGCCAAAGAGACCATCTTAGCACCAACAGAACTGGTTTGTTCCACTTTGGAGTAAACTGTTGGGGGAAGAATCACTTTTGTTGCGTGTTTCCTTGACTGATGAAGCCTTCTGGATGGAAGGTGAAACGTTTCAGCACAAAAAAATAAACTGTCCAGATGACCTGACTGAAAAATGTTGGATTGTAAACCTGGATTATTGAGCATGGACTTATTTTAGTTAACAAGATTAACACTTAAAAACAATTATTTGTTTGCTCAAAACTTTAGCAAAGGTGTGTCAGTCTAACATTTACTTAATAAATGCACTTTAATGGTCAAACAGCTGCATTTCACCGGGGTGGCGCAGCTGTTTGATGGTCCCAAGCAGAAAGAACGAAGGAGGGGAGACTGTGGCCGATTGAGTCATTAGAAGCTGGTGAAGATTCTCAGTCCTCCAGGACATGGTACGGTCTAAAACGTTAAAGAAAAAAACAATGAAGTATAATAAATAAAGTCCAGGTGTTTTTGTCTTGAACTTTTTTGAATTTGTCATTATAGCCACGTTTACCTACTACATGATACAACAGCATGCCATACACTATTAATGCTCTGCTGCCATCAAGTGGCTGAAACTGGTACTGCTCTTTCCCCAGAATGAATGGAAACACATCTGAGCCAAAAAATGGTTTATAATTATGGAAAAATACATAAATATGTCGCTTCGGCTTATAAGTCGCAGGACATGTACATTATGCAGAAAACTGTGACTTATAGGCCGGAAAATACGATAGTTATTAACAGATCGGAACATTTGATTTAATATTTAAAAATGGTATCAGACAAAAATATAAAGTTATGTACACATTCTGGTATTAGAGTGAAATGAAACAAACATGAATACAAATAAATAACATGATTCCATGAGAACAGATTCAGGCAGAAGAAACACTTTAGCAGATTTTAGTTTATTAAAACTAATACTTCCAGTCCGTCATGTTAATATACAGTTTGTATGTTAGAACAAACAGTCCACGCTCAATAATCCAGGTGTACAATCCAACGGTTTGGAACAGAGTAAAGCACTTGAAACTGCAGCGCGTTGGCCGGACGTGTGAACGAGGGGACCTTGGTTTGTTTTACTGTTTCTGCTGTGGTGTATCTTCATGCTCCAGCAGGTGGAGGTGTTTCCTGCAGACACGGTTCAAATGAAAACACAGTCCTGCAAACGTGGGTCGTTGTGTAAACTGTGGACAACAGGAAGCAGTGATGTCATCTTTACTCATGATGAACAAAGCAAACAGGAAATGTTGAAACTAAGAAGTTCTTCTGTTTCATGGAAAATAAACCGATCATCTACAATCTCATGGCAGCAGCTCGTCTGTTGAACGTTGTGCCAGAGGCACTAATGCACCCCTATACCATCAGAGAGGCAGGCTTTGATGCCAGGCAGGATGGTCCCGCTCCTCTTTAGTACCGAGCTCGTGCTGTCTAATCAGAACTTCAGATTTGGACCCGTCTGACCTCAGAACAGTTCTGCACTTCGATCCATTTGAAGTGAGTTCTGGTCCAGAGAGGGCGGCAGCGGTTCTGGATGGATGGTGTTCACATCTGGCCTCTTCTTTGTCTGATAGAGCTTTAAGCAGCATTTTTTGTGTGAACAGAACCAGTCCTGGTTTTAGTGCAGCCAGGTCCAGAACAGAACCAGACCTGGTTTTAGTGCAGGGGCCCCTGAGGGCCTTGTTCTTTGAGCTCAGGTTTCTTCAGATTCTTCTAATCTGAGGATCAGATTATGAACAGGGGAAGATGCAGATTAAAGTATTTATTCAGGACCTTTATTGTGAAAGAGTTCCTGTAGTTTCAGACAGACTGCCCATCTTTAACAGCCTCTGGCGGAGCTGCTCATGGTTCTCCTCATCAGGTCCTGAATGCTGGTTCTGATCCGGACCTCTGACCCTTGCTGCTCCTGGAACGTCTTCAGACGGACGTGCTGCTCGTCAGATCATCGATTCATTACTTTTGTGTGGATGCAGAAGGGTCGTTTCAACATTTGATGCTTCACTAAGAATAAAAGTGAGCTGCTTCTGGTGGTGGTGGTCATGTCTTGATGAGTCGGTGACTCTGAGGATGAACGAGGTTTTTGGTTTTGTTCAAAGACTCGCGTCAGTAAGTAAAGTTGGATGAGTTTGAGTAATGACTGCAGTGATTATACGATGATTGCAGGTTCTGATCCGGTTGTTTCTGATGCCTCGGTGGAGGAAATCATCTGGTGACCTTTCCAGCTCCTCATGTCTCAGCAGTGATTGACCATAATTAGAGATGATGTTGTGCTTTGTGTGTGGGTCTGGGCCACATGAAGCCCGTGGGGTCGGCGTTTCGTTAAAGATCATTCAGGTGTGCGGCTCCAGCCTCATTACTCTGATCATCATAATTATCATGTAATTACACGTTGGAGGGTTTGGAGCTGCTGCCTCGTGTCGGGAACTAACGGTTCCCACCTGATCAGGTGTTTCACACCACGTTAACTAAACTCACCACGACTGGAGGAGGAGCAGGGAGAAGAAGTCTCAGCTCATTAATGGCTGAATAGAAACGGTCATTCTTCATCGGTTCACGGGATATTTTGCTAACAGACACATGAGTGTGGACACAAACTCAGGTAACTAGCTCGTATGTTTGATGACACAAACCTGTTCCAGGGATGAGAGTCATGAACACCAGACCTGCAGTCTGCTTTAGTCACGGTTTTGTTCCCTGTGCTCGGCTCCAGGACACGGCTCTGGGGAAACCCACGGAGGTTTACCGTCTTCCTGCAGCAGAGTCCGCTCAGCGCGAGGACCGAGTGTGTGCCTCGCTCAGCCTCACCTCGGAGACCTGGGCGGCTCTTTCAGACGGCGCCGGCCGACTGATGCTCCTCCGCACCGGCAAGAGAGGAGAGGACTCTCGCCTGAAGTGGGACGTAAGTACAGGAGGACGCCTGCCGAGGGACGAGACGTGAGACCTTGTCCCTTTGTCCTGCAGAAGACATCAGCCTTTAGGCTCTGTCAGCCAGAAGCTGCTTAGATGCTCTGCTGTCTCCTGAATGAACAAAAACACATTAAAGTTAAGGCAGCAAATGGAAAAATACATGTCTGCAGGTTTTATATACACATACATATATACACACATATACACAAATACATACATATATATATATATATATATATATATATATATATATATATATGTATGTATGTATGTGTATATATATATAGTATATACAGGTCCTTCTCAAAAAATTAGCATATTGTGATAAAGGTCATTATTTTCCATAATGTAATGATAAAAATGAAACTTTCATATATTTCAGATTCATTGCACACCAACTGAAATATTTCAGGTCTTTAATTGTTTAAATACTGATGATTATGGCATACAGCTCATGAAAACCCAAAATGCCTGTCCCAAAAAATGAGCATATCATGAAAAGGTTCTCTAAACAACTATTAACCTAACCATCTGAATCAACGACGTAACTCTAAACACCTGCAGAAGATTCCTGAGGCTTTTAAAAACTCCCAGCCTTGTTCATTACTCAAAACCACAATCATGGGTAAGACTGCCGACCTGACTGCTGTCCAGAAGGCCATCATTGACACCCTCAAGCAAGAGGGTAAGACACAGAAAGAAACTGCTGAATGAATAGGCTGTTCCCAGAGTGCTGTATCAAGGCACCTCAGTGGGAAGTCTGTGGGAAGGGAAAAGTGTGGCAGAAAACGCTGCACAACGAGAAGAGGTGACCGGACCCTGGGGAGGATTGTGGAGAAGGGCCGATTCCAGACCTTGGGGGACCTGCGGAAGCAGTGGACTGAGTCTGGAGTAGAAACATCCAGAGCCACCGTGCACAGGCGTGTGCAGGATATGGGCTACAGGTGCCACATTCCCCAGGTCAAGCCACTCTTGAACAAGAGACTGCGTCAGAAGCATCTCACCTGGGACTGCTGCTGAGTGGTCCAAAGTTATGTTCTCTGATTACAGTAAATTTTGCATTTCCTTTGGAAATCAAGGTCCCAGAGTCTGGAGGAAGAGAGGAGACACAGAATTCACATTGCTTGAGGTCCAGTGTCAAGTTTCCACAGTCACTGGGGTGCCATGTCATCTGCTGGTGTTGGTCCACTGTGTTTTATCAAGGGCAGGGTCAATGCAGCAGCTATCAGGAGATTTTGGAGCACTTCATGCTTCCATCTGCTGAAAAGCTTTATGGAGATGAAGATTTCATTTCTCAGCACGACCTGGCACCTGCTCACAGTGCCAAAACCACTGGTAAATGGTTTACTGACCATGGTATTACTGTGCTCAATTGGCCTGCCAACTCTCCTGACCTGAACCCCATAGAGAACCTGTGGGATATTGTGAAGAGAAAGTTGAGAGAACAAGACCCAACACTCTGGATGAGCTTAAGGCTGCTATCGAAGCATCCTGGGCCTCCATAACACCTCAGCAGTGCCACAGGCTGATTGCCTCCATGCCACGCCGCATTGAAGCAGTCATTCATGCAAAAGGATTCCCGACCAAGTATTGAGTGCATAACTGAACATGATTATTTGAAGGTTGGTGTTTTTTGTATTAAAAACACTTGTCTTTCATTGGTGGGATGAAATATGCTCATTTTTTGGGACAGGCATTTTGGGTTTTCATGAGCTGTATGCCATAATCATCAGTATTAAAACAATTAAAGACCTGAAATATTTCAGTTGGTGTGCAATGAATCTGAAATATATGAAAGTTTCATTTTTATCATTACATTATGGAAAATAATGACCTTCATAACAATATGCTCATTCTTTGAGAAGGACCTGTATGTGTATATATATATATATATATATATAGAGAGAGAGAGAATTTTATGGCTTTAAGTCGTCAACTGACATTAAAAAAGTATTTTGTTTTACTTCTACATTATCAAAACTTTAATTTAGAAGCTAAAGGAACAGCTGTGAGATGTTTTTTTTTTGTTCTTAAACCTCTAAAAGTTTCCAGATTCATTAAATTGACCAATCGAAGCGCAGCAGCATCTTCAGACTGACGAGTGGACGACTCTGAGGTTTAAAAACCAGACGAGACCAAATGTTGAGACCCTCAGAAGGATCCCATGGTTCTGCCAGTAAATGTGCTCTTGGACCACTGGACGGTTTCCCTTGCTCCATCTAGGAGGAAGAAGATTTTAAACTGGTTGAGTTGAGAAGGAATGAAAGGTGTTTAATCTTTGTAAATGTGACTGATCAGTGCTGAAGTCTTGGACGAGCGCCGGGTTTGGGTCGGCTGCAGACCAGGTTCTGAAACAGCTGATGTTCTGTAAACTGCAGGGTTCAGAACCCCCACGTGTCTAAATGTTTAAGATCCAAAGCAGACAAACTGTTGAGGACGAGGCTGAGACCTGAACGGTTTCACTGAAATTACTGAAGAATCACCTGATAAAGGAAAAAATCAACACAAGGTAAATGAGCAAAAACTACACTGGAAGTAGCTAAACATGCGCTAAAAGCTAAACTTACAGAAACGATGAGTATGAGTAACGAAAGGCCAGCTTAATGCTAAATGGTGTAACATCAACTAAAAGCTATAGCTAGTGCATGACTACCTAGAAGCAGCAAAAATTGACCTTAAAACTAAAGTACCAAAAGTTATGTAAAAGTATCAAAAGGGCCAGCTATAAGCTAAAAGTACCAATGAGCTAGCTATAAGTTATTACCGTACCTGCAGTGTTCCCTCAGTGAGGACTGAACTAGACTAAAGGACCTTCTCCTCCTCCGCTCCTGTTTCCATACCATACCATACCAACTTTATTTATAAAGCACCTTAAAACAACCATAGCTGACACAAAGTGCTGTACATTAAAACACAACATAATAAAAGTGAAAATAAAAAACAGTTTAAAAACAGAAAACATACAATTTAAAACTAGATCCTGCTGGTGTTAAAAACATACATTTTAAAAGCATACAAAATTTAAAAACTAGATCCCGCTGGTGTTAAAAGCCAAGTTGAATAAATGAGTTTTAAGACGAACTTTAAAAATGGACAGTGAAGGGGACTCTCTGACCTGCAAAGGCAAGTCGTTCCATAACTTAGGGCCCATGACAGAGAAAGCCCTGTCCCCTCTGAGCTTCCTTCTTGTTCTTGGTACCTCCAAGAGCAGCTGATCTGCTGACCTGAGAGACCGATAGGGTATGTAGGGATGAAGAAGCTCAGAGAGGTAAGCCGGGGCAAGATTATGCAGTGATTTAAAAACAAACATAAGAATTTTAAAATGAATCCTAAAATATACAGGCAGCCAGTGAAGTGAAGCCAGGACAGGGGTCACATGTTCCCTCTTTCGAGTTCCTGTTAAAAGTCGTGCAGCAGCATTCTGAACCAGCTGCAGACGTGAGAGCAGCAACTGACTGACTCCCAGATAAAGTGCATTACAGTAATCCAATCGAGTCGAAATAAAGGCGTGGATCACCATCATCCTGGAATATCTTGTAAAAACATCTGAAGCTCTCGACCTTTGACCTCTCTAAGTGGCTTCAAACATCTGTATGTTATGTCATAAAGCTCACTATAAGCTAAATATATATAGCTAGCTATAAGCTAATATTGCCAAAAAATGAGGTTTAAGCTAAAAATATCAAAAAGCTTGCTGTAAGCATGAAGTGTCAAAATATTAATGTAAATATAATAATATATTTAATAATATTAATGTAAAGCGAAGAGTAGTAAAATCTTTGTTAAATGTGTAGCCGAACAGTATCTAAAAGCTAAAAGTAGCCTAAAGCATCAGATCCAGTAGTTGAAGCAGATTTTAAAGACAAGTTCCTGCAGGAACTGAGGAGATCTTGATGAACGTCTGTGGGAAACGGTTTGTAAAGAAACGTAAACATTTATAAAAGTTACAGTAACCAGAAGCATCAGCAGCTTCCCATGAATGAGCCGAATGTTTTGATGTACAAACAGCTAAAATAGCACAAAGTCTGCAGAACTAGTTGTAGAACACAAACACTGCTGACTCAGCATTGAGACCTGAAGTCCCGTCCGTTCTGTTCCTGCAGCCTCTGTTCAGCGAGGACGTTGGCGAGCCGTTCATCATCCTCCACAGCGTCTCGCACGTCCACGCCGACCTCCACACCGTGGAGGTCCTGCTGCTGCGCGTCCAGAAAGACCCGCAGGAGTCCACAGGGAGCGGGTTCTGCGTGACTCTGGAGTGGATCACGGTCTCCAGCGCTGCAGGACCTGGTGGGTGGTGTGAAGCCCGGTGAGGGGTCAGAATGAGACTCCAGGTGGTCTTAGTGTTGGTCCTCAGTTACTGTGCTGGATCAGACTCACGTCGTCTGAAGCAAACATGACCAGGAGGATCTTATTCAAGTTCCTGACATTTACTGAGAACGGAAGCTGCCGCGATCAAAGTAATTATGTGAAATATGAAAAGGCCTCAGGAGACGCTGCTCTTCATGCTGCTGGAATTAAAGATGCAGTTCTGACAGCTGCATGGTTGATGGGCACCTGCCACGGGGGGCGGGGGTGTCTGTGTGTTAAATTACATGGCATTGGTTCTCCAACGTTTCTTTAACCCCCCCTGCCCCGTGCTGCAAAACCAAATATTAACAAAGTGAAATCTTCAAGTATTCACGTCACAAACTGAAATATTTAAATGAAATTTCAACGTAATTTAAAGCGGGTTAAAGTTACAGGAACGATGAGTAGGGGTAGTGAAAGGCTAGCTACATGATGTCACATTAACTAAAAGCTATAGAAGTACATGACTACCTAAATGCAGCTAAAATTTACCTTAAAGCTAAAGTACCCAAAGTTAGGTAAACGTATCGAAGAGCTACCTATAACCAAAAGTGTCAAAACATTAAAAAGTGAGCTATAAGCTAAAAATATCAAAAAGTTAGCTTTATGCTAAATATACAGAAAGAACTAGCTACAAGTTAAAGATATAAAAAGGTTAGCTATAAGCTAAAATACATATAAAAAATCTAGCTATAAGCTAAAAATATCAAAATGCCTGTTTGAATAATCAGAGTCCAGCTACATGGCAGTATGGCTCCTAAAATAAACCAGTTTAGTGCACCAACACCTGTGTGGGACTGGGTTCTGTAGATACAACAACAAACTGGTCAAACTCAGAGAAAACATGAGTTTGGAGCAAAACGTTTTTAAAAAGTACTTGTTTTAGAGTTCATACTAAAGTAGCACAAACCGAGTCACAAGCACGTTGTGCACGCTGTGCACGCTCCGATCTCTGTCGTTTAGAAACAAGGCGAGCATCAAGGCGTGGAGGAGAACTCAGCTGGGTCGACTTGGACACATTAAATATGACGACGTCTGCCTCGTTCTGATTAAAACATGGCAAATTAGAATTGAAACGTGGTGAATTAGAATTGAAACATGGTGAATTAGAATTAAAACACGGTGAATTAGAATTAAAACACGGTGAATTAGAATTAAAACACGGTGAATTAGAATTAAAACACGGTGAATTAGAATTAAAACAC